AAGTAAACATTCAATTACACAACAGACAATACATTTACTAATGCTAAAAGATAAAAAAAAAAAAGATAGACAATACAATATAAAGTATAATCTGCTAATAATCTGCTCTCCCACAGGTGCAAAGTTTCCCATCAAGTGGACCGCTCCGGAGGCCGCGCTGTACGGGAAGTTCACCATCAAGTCGGATGTGTGGTCCTTTGGTATCTTGCTGACGGAGCTGGTCACCAAGGGTCGGGTGCCTTACCCAGGTGAGGAGGGGAAAGGGTTAAACAGCTAGCAGAGGCTATCACCTTGAGCTGTTTGGGGCGCGTCGATAAAGTAGCCTGATAAGAATGACACCTCTCCAGAATGAAACAAAGAGTTGTTACTAAGGCACACACAGCTTTCTCTATGACAACAGGCCACCCCTCCTGCTGTTTATGGGAGTAAAAGGTTCTTTAATGCTTGGGTAACCTTCCATGCCCTGGCAGAATGTGAGATAGCCCTTAATTACCGCTGCTCGCCTGTGGGGCGACTTGAATCTCATGCAGAAACTAAAAGAGACAGCGAGGAGGAGGCCAGGCCGGGGGCACAGAGTGTACTCAGAGTGTGGCTCCACGCGGGGAGGGAGACACATGTTTGTCCAGATGGAGGTGGTGGGCTCTGGTTGTGCTTCAGGGAGAAGGTGAGGGAGGGTTAGCACGCAGTGAACTGAGGGAGCAGCATCATGCTAACAGATGTGTTGAGATTCCTGAGGCCGTCTTCCGGTCCCTGATGGTGGATGGTAGCAGCCAAATTGTGTACTCAATGAAAGTACTACTTTACTCAAGTAGAAGCGGTCATCATGAGTGAAAGTACAAAAGCATATACTGAATACTACACTTGTCTTCTTTAATTTTATGTGGACCTGACAGATGGTCAATTTAATGTCACATCATTATCTCCTGGTTAGGTTTGTTAAATATGTAGCAGAACAATATTCCCAGTCTTCAACTCGTAAGTGTGATCAGAAAACACCCAGCTACTGTAAATACTACAAAAACATCCTATATTATATTAGTTCATACATTCTCATACTGCTCTTTGACCCATCAATCAGGCAAATACCCATGGATCATGTTACTGTCATAGCAAAAATGTGATATAAAGAGTGTGACATTGTTCTTGCACTGTGAGCCAATAGCAGAAAGCGTTTAGTACACCGGACTAATGCAGTCTTACATGTTTAATAGCTGCAGTGATTTTAAGAAAGGGTGCAGTAGATCCCAGTCCTTGCCACACACACCCTTTAATCAGTGAGGCCACCACTGGATTCAATAACAGGCGTCCAACTGGTGAGATCTACTTCACGAGAACAGTTAAACATACAACACAGACTTCCAATCTAACAATAATTATAAGGGCTACGCAGTTCGCTTACATAATCTAACACAATGTTTATATACATATCTGATGTATAAGTGCTCTGTAACCTTGCCTGCTCCAGTTTGGTATCTTGGTGACTCACGGTGCATCACAGTGGGAGGAGAAGTCTGTAAAGGGTGTGGCAATAACGAGTCCGCCGCCAGCCAGTGACTTCAAAACACACCCACATCAATTTCTCAGACATCATACAAACCCATCATTTTTGTTCTTTTTCCACTTTTATTTTCAACCAGCTGATCGCACAGAAAAACAGTTTTATGCTGATTGTGCAGTATAAAGATTAATGAATTCCTACCAGCTCTGTCATCTAAGACAGGTAATAGTATATACTGAAGGTCTATCCTGGGAGTCTCTGGAGTGATGTTCCACACTGTCAAGTCAGAATTATGCATGGCATAATCAGATGTAAAATAACCACAGAAACCTCCGTTCTTATGTGCACTCCGTTCTGTGGATCAACAGGTGTGTTGACATGTTCAACAGTTCACACAGTTCAAACGTGCCAGTCCTCCCCCGTTTTTGCAAGTAAAACACACAAATTTCAGAAAGTTACAGCATGGAAAAACAAATTTGGCTCTCAAACTATATATGGCACTATGGTGGTAGTTGATGTATGGGTCATTGTGATGGCAAATGAAATGTTCGCACAGAAAATGTGCCAACCTTCAAATCTTCAACATGTCATCATTTCTTCACATTATTTCTCCTTCCCTTCATTAAAGGTTACTTGGATGTCTAATGGAGCTAAATACAGTCGCACATGGCATCAGTCTGGATATTTACATTAGCACAGAAAGCAGGAGATGTCGTAGTTTTAACGCCTGATGTGCTGCACATATGTAGTATTAAACGTGTGGGTGTAAAGCCATTATAAACAGACACAGCTGATACTCAGCTCAGTGTCTGCTGCACTACTGACCTCAGACCAGCGTTCACACCTGGAGCTCACTACAGTCTGATCTGTGCTACTAGCTGTGTAACAAGATATAGTCCTTTTTTTTTATTTTTTTTTTTACATTTTTACAATTATTTTATTTACTGCCTAATATTTCAAATTGAGGGAAGGTTTAGTCCTGTATGTATGTGTATTAAATGTGAAGAATCAATAAATAAATAAATAAAAATATATATATATATTGCAATAGTGAAACCCAAAGAGACCGTGGATGTTATGTCATCAGACCCACAGCAGACCTGAGGTCAGCAGACAACCAGTCTGAGAAGGAAAAACCAGAATGTGCACTGCATACAATATTGATACAAATAGTGTGAGTGTATGGAAATGTTAAAGTAAACGTATTTATTTTCCTATATTAAAACTACAAAAAGTAACTTATGTACATGTAATGGAGTAAATGTAACTCATTAGTACCTGCCTCTGGTTCTTGATGGTTACAGGGTTTGGTTTAGACTAAAGAGGCCCTGCAGAGGCCGTGTGTTTGTGTTGAAGGTCGCTGAGGCTAAATCAAAGTGGTCGGTCTCCACGGAGCTGTCATATTGATCTGTTTAAAAGCCTGCGGTGCACTTACTCACCTCCTGCATGCGTTTGGTTTCCAGGCATGAACAACCGCGAAGTGCTGGAGCAGGTGGAGCGAGGCTACAGGATGCCGTGCCCCCAGGACTGCCCCAGCTCGCTGCACGAGCTGATGCTGCAGTGCTGGAAGAAGGACGCTGAGGAGCGGCCCACCTTCGAGTACCTGCAAGCCTTCTTGGAGGACTACTTCACGGCCACCGAGCCTCAGTACCAGCCCGGGGACAACCTCTAAACCCCCCCAACCACCACTCCTCTCTCCCGCCCGGGGGTCGGCCCCAGGGCTGGGGCAAGACTGACCCCGATCAGTGCTGTTACAAAACTCTGGAGCCTTCCCAGCCAGGACTTTATTTTAGGGATGTGTACAGCTTCCTCAGCTCAACCCCGAGCATTTTCAGTTCCACCACCAACACCCTAAAGACACAACCCTCAGTGTCCGACACGCCCCCTAGTGTCTGAACTCTGCTAAGGCGAAAAGTTAAAGAGGGTGGGATGGAGACGGACGGAGGGGATGTGATAATGGATAATGCAATGAAATACCTGTATTCAATGTAAATAAGAAAAGGCTTGTTTTAGTTTGTTTGCTTCTGTTTCAGATTTTATTTTCTCCTGCACAAAATAATAATAATGGTGAAAAAGGAAGAGAAGCATTTCAGACGAGCACCTGAGCAGGCACAGTTAATCTGTATTATACTGTAGCTCCTGTATTTTTTTCTAGAGATTGAATTGGAAGCCTCGATATATTTTTTTCTCATTTGTGTAAAAAAAAAAAAAAATCCACCCACAGATTATTGCTTTATTCTTGACTCTTCAGTTAGTAGAATCGCAGAGGCTTCTTCAGAGCATGACGCAGTCCTCCATTTTTGTTTTTCTTTTCTTGCACCCCCTAAAGCTTCCTCAGAGTGTAATGTAAGGCTACTGCTGTATGGGTCAAGGTTCTTTTACAAATGATATACAAATGTCACATTTTTGTAAATTACAGCCAAGCGTGTGCGGGTTTTCAACAGATCCCTCCACGCTTAGGATTTTGAGAAAAGTCGGGTGAAAACATTTCTGTCTTTCTACCGCGAATGGCTGGGAGACAGAGAGGTCGGATTTAATCTTAATTTAAGAGTGCGTACGTCTTATCTGAGCTGTCATTCTGAGGCCCCTCCTCGTCGGAAGTCAGCACAGACGGACCCGGACCACTTCACCTCCTGAGTTTTTCTTCTTTTATGTTTTACTGACATGGTTGTATTCTATCAGTATTTGAGTTTTTACAGTTTTTATTTAACCCTTTTAAGTGACCCTCTCAGAGTCCATTGTACTGTATGTTCAGGGGAGGTTTGGGGCCGATTCTTGTTGCAGTTCAGAGTAAACATTCAAAAGAAACTGTGAATTGAAAATGAACCCGGCCCTGACCTGGTCTTAATGCAGATGGTTTCGTGGCCAATGGGAACCCCTCATTTTTGAGTTGTACAGCTAAGTGATTTTATGTGTCGCTAACTTCCCTCCTTTATATTGTTTCATTTCCATTTTTTAACATAACTTGTTTTGTTATTTCGGTGATTTGGCGTTTCGAAATTCCGAGATAAACAATAAACATTTTACACTCTTTCTAAGACACTTCCTTTCCACATGAAAGTGTGTGTGTGTGTGT